ATGTCCTTGAGAGATATTGGTAATGTCTTTGCTTGGTTTCAGTATCAGGGTACTGCTGATCTCATGAAATGAGTTTGGACATATTTCTTCTTCAATATTCTGTAAGAGTTTATATAGAGTTAATATTACTTTTTTAAATATTTTATAAACTTCATCAGTGAAGCCATCTGAGCCTGAAGATTTTAACTACAAATTAAATTTCTTTATTAGATTTAGGACACTCAGGTTATCTGTTTCTTCTTAAGAGACCTTTGGTAGGTTGTATTTCCCAAAAAATCTGTTCATTTCATCTAAGTTTCTGAATTTTTTGGCATAAAACTGACCATAATAGCCCCTTATTATTCTTTTAATATATTTAGAATCTGTAGTGATGTTACTTCTCTCATTTCTCATTGTGGTTGAATTGTACCGCTTCAAATTCTATATTGAAGTCTTAACCCATAGTACCCCAGACAGTATTTGGAGACTGTTTTTGGAGATAGGATCTTTTAAGAGGTAATTAAGTTAAAATTAGGTCCTTAGGATGGGACTTAACCTATATGACTGGTGTCCTTATTAAAAGAGGTGATTAGGACATATATGTACAGAGGAAGAGCGTAGGAAAACATAGAGAAAAGGCAGCCATCTAAAAGGTAAAGAGGGAATCCCCAGAAGAAACCAGCTTGCCACCAAGATGATCTCAGACTTGTAGCTTCCAGATTGCAAAAGAATAATAATTTCTGTCAATTGAGCCACCCAGTCTGCGGTACTTTGTTATGGCAGCCCAAGCAAACGAATACATTATTGAGTATTGTTTATGATTCGGTTTTATTTCCCTTTGTAGGTTGTTAGCTATATCTGTTTTGTTATTTTAGTCGTTGCTTTGGATTTTATAGACTACATCTTCAACATATCAGAGTCCTTATGTGATTATTCCACTTCATATAGAGTATAAGAGCCTTACAATAGTATACCACCACTTCCCTTCTCATATTTCTTTTGTTATTGTCATATATTTTAGTTCTACATATGTTACAGACTACACACTACATTGTTGCATTTTTGTTGTTGCTAACCCCCACCAGAGAGTATTTTTTCCATTGATTTTTAGCTTTATTATGATGTCTTTCTTTAAGTGAAGTAAACAGCACATATTTCTCTAATATCTTTTGGATGCAGACTGTTGATAACCTTTCTATAATTTTAGTTCTGAATGGTCACCTTACTGAATCTGGTGATAAATGTCTCATTTCCCTTAACCCCTGTTGGCAATGCTTCTAAAAGTATATTAGCTATTTTCAGTGTCTGTGGAGATTTGTAGAATGTATGCTTCATGAAGTATTTTCCTGTCTGCTTCTTTTAGTCTCTCTTAGTTATTAATGGGAGCTTTAATTCTCATGCTCACTTTTATGCTCATTATAGTGAGTTATGTTCCAATAAGAGTATTAAAGTTCAATGAAAATCTTATGCATACTGATGAGAATGAAAAGGAACATTGATGAAGGAATGCAAGGATCTTTAGGCATAAACTGTCCAGTTATCTTGCTAAATTCCATTCAAACAATGGTTACATTATAATGAAGACTGATACAGAACCCACCATACAGATATAATTAGCAATGGCAAAATCATTATATAATTTATAATTGGATAGAGAGATTCAGTTCCAGATTATTCTGAGGTGAAAAAAAAAAAGTAATGATTTGCTATTAATGCTTATTTTTATTCCTTCCTCCTCCTAAATTTTGTCAGCCTTCAGCAGGACATTTCCTTTGTTGTATATAGTGAGTGGGAAAGTAGGGTTGATTATGTAAGTGAGTAGTCACATTGAAAATTTCCAGTTTTAAACCATTATTGGATGCATAACAAAGATTGGGCATCAACCATCATCTCAAGAATTATAAATATACAAATTTATTTTAGCAATTGCCTTTATGTAGATTAAAGATCTTTTTTTCCTTCAGCAATTTAAAACAAAGCTAAAGGAAGCCCTTTTATCTTTTCATAGAAACTAGTGTCCCATGAGAGTGAATGGTCTAGGTTGTAGTTAATACATTATCTGAGTTATATTACATTCTTACATCTATGAATGAATTTTATAAACTTATCCAAGGCCCGTAAGCTTTAGAAAACACGTATCAGAGTTTCCTCAACCTGTAAATGTACCTTGGGATTTTAAAAAATTATTTGGATTCTATTGAAGTATTTTTGTTTTTCCAACCTTTCAGAAAAACTGAAAATGCTGAGTATAAATTTATCAATAAGACAAATTGTTGTTTTTAGTTGTTTTCCTCATGGTGATAGTAAGTGTGCATTGTGCCACACACTTCAGCGTGATCTAATGCCAACAGTGTGTGTTCATAGACTCTAGAATACATGATAATCATTAGTAAAACGTATAGTAGTTCATAATAATTTTTATTTTAGGTAATATAAAAGTGTTTTGAATCAATATATACAGTTGTTGCTAAAAGGATTATACTTAATGGTAGCCCTAGCACAGGGGCTGGCAAATGTTTTCTTTAAAGGGCCAGAGAGTAGTTATTTTAGACTTTGTGGGCCATGTGGTTTGTTACAACTACTGAACTCTGCATTTGTTTTCATAGACAATATGTAAACAAATAAGTGTGGCTGTGTTCCAATAAAATCTTTTTTATGGACACGGAATTTGAATTCTATATAATTTTCATGTGTCATGAAATACTGTTGTTCATTAGTGGAATTTTGCTTGCAGGCTGTAGTTTGCCAACCCCTGCCCTACCAGTTGAGTTTTCTGAATTAAGTTTTTAATGTAGATTAATATAGAAGATTTATTGCTTAAACATTTTAGAATTATATGGCTCATGTTGAATTATTTTAGAAGTCTCTTTTATAGAAAAAATACCTATAAATATAGATAAGTAAATTTTATTTTGATCAAAAAAGGCAGTTGAAAAATTTCATAAATTAAACCACTTCTTTCCTTGATTACAGAGGAATCTTGCTGTTACTAACCTGGATTTTCCAATACAGGTCAAAATCCCATTAAAACAAATATTTTTATAGTGGAATTATAGTGAAAGTATTCATTCAACAGCTGTATTAAATGCCAACTCTTTCAAGGTATTTAGGTGGTAGAAAAATAAATCTCCTGTGGATATGCATCCTGCCCTTGACAACCTTACAACCTAACGAGGAGTATAAAACCTGTGCAAGTCGTGGCTAGAAATGGAAGCTAATAAGAAAACGCAGAAAAGAATAACGGGGTAGAAGTTCAGAAATAGGAGTAGAGAAGGCAAAATACTGGAGTGATATTAAAAACAGACGCATGCACCCTGGCCAGTATTGCTCACATGGATAAGTCGTGGGTTCAATTCCCGGTCAAGGGCATATACCTAGATTGCAGGTTGGATCCCCGGCCCTGCTCAGGGCATGTGCAGGAGGCAACCAATCCATGTGTCTCTCTCACATTGATGTTTCTCTCTTCCCCCCTCCCTCCCTCTCTCTAAAAATTAATGGAAAAAATATCCTCGGGTGAGAATAAAAAATAAAAAAATAGATGCACTGGATCAATGCAAGCGAGAACAGAGCAGGGAGAAATAACTAATCCCAGGCCCACAGTCAAATGTTGCTATTTCCTCCCCTACAACCATTCAGCAATTCAGCACTGGGCTTGTCATGAGGGCAAGTCCTGGTGCTGTTCCTTGGATGAGGAAGGCAGGCTGGTGGAACTGGTCAGAAGAGAAGGTGAACTGTCAGAGCTCAGATTTTAGAATCAGTTCAACCAGAGTTTGATCCCCAGTCTGTTACTCACTAGTTATGTGAGTTTAGGGAAGTTACTTAATCTTTCTGAACCTCAGTTCCCAGTCTGTAAAATGGGGTCAGTAATTCTTATTTTCTTACATGTAGTTAGAACGTACTTCTCTTCCTAGTTTAGTATTCTTTGCTTGTTTACTAAAGTTCAAGAGATGGATTAGTCAGTAGAGCACTGGTGGTTTGGAGCCAGAGACAGGGTCAGACCTGGATTCCAATCCCACCATTACTACTTAATAGATAAATTCGGGGAAGTTATTTAATTTCCCTATAAACTAAGGATACTTCACAATTTTGTAATGAAGATTGAGTATATAAAGTGATAAAATAGCGGTTTTCTACTTTTTAAAGACCATATCCCCTACAGTATGTTTTCTCAGTCTCCTATGTTTCCTATACATCCTCATAGGCCAAACAGGAATTGTATGCTTATGGTATGCCAGACTCAGAGCTAAGAATTTATATATTCTTATATATACATAATCCCTCCCTCTCACCTACTATTCTCTCAAAATTGAATCCACCACAATCTCCTCTGGAAGAAGTTAATATTTGTAAGACTCTCAAAGTTTGCTTTCAGTTGCTATCTAATGCACTACTAATTACATTGTTCTTTATGCTCTTCTCAGACCCTTCTACTATCAGTGATTTTGATACACTTCCATAGAGGCAGCCCTACTCCCTCCCTATTGCTGTAAAGCATCCCACTCAGTGTTAAGTGCCCACTAGACACTTAACATCTATGGGCTCATCTCCCAAGTGATAGATTTAAGACCTGATGATACCAACCATAGGAGTTAGGATGCTTGCTAGAGCAGATCAGAAGAGAAATCTCTGTAAATTAAAATAATTTTGATATTGCCTTGAAGTTTACTGTGTTGCAATTTGGCATGTATGCCGTATATACACTAACATGAATTCAGATGATTACATGAAGTATGATTTTAGACGTGAAAATGTTCCCTCTTATCCTCCAAAGCTGTTGCATTTTTTAATGACACAAATCACCTTCTGACATAAGATGTTTGTGTGTTTCTTTTCTGTATTCCCTTTGCTGGTGCATATGCTATAGGAGAGAGGGAATTCATGTTTGGTTCCCTGTTGTATCTCCAGTGCCTAAAGCAATATATAACAGTTGCTTAGTTAATATTTGTCTTATGCAAGAATGAATAAAATGTTTGTACAATTTATAGAAAACTTACATTTAAACGGTGTGGTTTTTTTTCTAGCTTGGATTAGAAGAACAAGAAAAACTCCACCTACCATGGAGGTAAGAATACATAAGAAAAATACTCAAATAGCATGTGTGTACGATACTGTGTTTCTCAGCTGAGAATATGTACTTTCAGGCGTACATGAAGCCTCAGAATAAATATGATGCATCTTGCCTAAGTGTTCATTTTACTCCGCAGAATTCCTTGGCATACATTCGAGGCTCCTGCTTTGGGCCCAGCCCAATTTTCTAACTTTCCTCCTTTTACCTGTTATACCCACCCTGCTCATCAAGGAGCTCCTTGCTGTTTCTCAAGTTTAATGTCTCCTCCCACTCCCATTAGCTGGCACACTTCTGCTCCTGTTCATTCCTAATTCCATTTAAAAGACCCTTTAAAATCCTTGATGCTTTCTTCAACTTTTTTAAAACGTCTCAACTCAAAGAATGACACTCCTTTCTTGATATAACTACATTGCCTTGTGCACCTGTATAACAAATTATAATTAGTTGTTTTATTTGTCCGTCTTTTTGACTATATTGTGAGCCATATGGCATAGGGCTTATGCCTTATTCATTTGTATGTCATAAGCACCTAACACAGAGCCTGATTCACTATTAGATAGGCTTTTATTGCCAGACTTGAAAATCTCAATGCCATATAAATATATTACATGGTTTCTTTGACAGGGCTTGAATTTCCAACAACTAACTATAAAATTACCCTGTAAAACTGAACATATTTCGAAGTTGAGCATTACCTATACTTTTTTCATAGAAATTTATATTTTACTGAAGGTTGCCAATACAGTTCAGCACCTGTTCACCAGTGCAGTACAAGCTGAATTAACATTTCACAGAAAGAATGAGGTAGACTTTTCCTAGTCCTCACTATCCCACTAGAAGTCACATATAGCAAGTATTTTGAAATATTATTTCTCCTTTTTTACTGACAAAACAGTAGGAAACATAATAAAGTTTTCTGTTTGAAAGAGAGTGAATAAATGTATTGCCACAACAAAATACAAGACTCAGCAATCGGTTTATAGACAGTAGGAGAAAATTAAATTAGAGTTCCCTCACTTCATTTTTCATTTTTAATATATATTTGCCATGAAAGAGGAAGAGGAAATTCTAGAAACGAGTAGAGAATGGAGTTGGAGATGGTGATGGTATAGACTAAGGAAAGACTGGAGCAGAACCACAGTCCACAGCACCCACTTACTTATGTTCTCGGATCTGGGTTTGAGGCTCCAAAGATCCATTCTTGTCCATGTCCAAGGCGATTGGGCTCTAAAAGATATCACAGTGACTAAAACACTTTTGACTTTGAAATAGTTGCCAGAATTCCAGTATATTAATTTATAGGAAGAAATTAAATTGGCACAGGAAAAAAACACACACACAATAGGTTACCTAGTGAGTATGGCATTAGGATAAGGGGAGTTAAATAAAATAAATGTTTAATTACACCAGGCCTAAAATTGCCTATTGTATTCATCTCAAAATAGGGATAGTCTTGCCTGGCTGGCGTGGCTCAGCAGTTGAGCATCTACCTAGGATCCAGGAGATCGCAGTTTGACTCCCAGTCAGGGCACATGCCCAGTTTCCGGCTCGATCCCCAGTAGGGGGTGTGCAGGAGGCAGCCGATCAGTGACTCTCTCATCATTGATGTTTCTATCTCTCTCCCTCTCCCTTCCTCTCTCTGAAATCAATAGACATTTTTTTAAAAAAAATTATAGGGATAGTCTGACTCATAGGAATAGAAATATTTAAATAAATTTGGCCACAATTCCCAATATCTGTCTTTATCCTATGAATAGCCCTATGATTTGGAATAGAAAATATTGCCACCTGCTAGGTAAGGCTTTCACATCCATGGACAGTTTTTATGGTTTGCTTGCACTTGTCTTTATGATTCTTTTTTCTTTGCTTCCTTATTCTAATTGAAATATTATTTATTTTGCTATTATGATAGTTATATTATAGTACAATATTGCTGGCCCTGCAGCCATTCTTTTGTTTTACTCATTTTATACTTGAAATGTCTTAACATCGACATTTCGCATATATAATCCTACTTTGCTGTGCACTTAAATTGTGAAGCTGGAGTGTATATGCTTGTGGAAAAATAGATCCCTACCACAAACCTTGCAATATCACTTTGGGGAATAGAGCGGAAGTAGATAAGAAATTGTGGCATGTTCACACACTGGGTTATAACATGAATGAACTAGAGCCGCATGTATCAACATGCATAAATCTCAGAAACATGATATTGAGCAAAAAAAACCAAGTTGCATAAGATTTCATACAATATGATGTCATGTATATAAAGTTTGAAAGCAGGGAAAGAGTAATGGGCTTTCAAGGAAAGTTAGTGAGTTAAACACTTGAGTTTACTTTCTCTTCAAGCCTAATGAAAATAACAGTAAAGGGATTTATATTAAAAAGCATAAACCTATAAGGTCAAGGAAAATTGAAGAGGCAAAACAGCAACAGTGTTTTGGAAACTGGAAAGCAGATGAACAACTGGTAACAAATTTAGCAAAACTGAGAATGACTCCTGATTTGGCAGAGGAGAACTCCCAGAAGTAACCCAGTTTAAACTGCAAAACCCCAGACTGCTTAGTAATTGGCAGTGCCAGGAAAATCTGAAAGTGGAGTTGAAGCTTGTTCTAAAAACAATAACCTGGGTGAAAATCTGTTTAAGAAGCAATTAGATGCTAACAAGTGTAGAAAAAATAATAGAGTTGAGAAGTCACCATTTTTTAACTGTCATTGATTCAGGGAAAAATCATTAATGGATATTAAAACCATTGGTCAAATTTTGTTTGGGAATGGATGTTTACATGGTATCAAGGTAGCGTCAAAGCAATTATAGATAATATGGAAACATGTGCCCAATGGAACTTTATTTACAAAACAGGTGGCAGGTAGATCCTAGTTTGCTAAACCCTGCTATTGATCAGTGGTTTTCAAATTGGGATACCTGTACCACTGGGTACATAAATACTTTCTTTGGGATATACAGGTATGCATAGACTTTAAAAAATTAATTTCCATATACTCACTTTCCATATGTAGTCTTTCCTAAAAATGATCTGAGTAAGAACTACCTTCTGGTCTGCCAGTTTCCCTTTCTGACTTATTTCATAATCATCTGTCTCCCACTTTTCAAAAGAAAACCTTACCCCTGTCCATATTAAATCTTACTACAGTGTGTTTCCTTGGGGTTTAAAAATCTCCAGGGCACCAATACAAAGAGACTATTGGAGAGTGAATCTCTCACTTAGAAGAGTCCCTTGAGAGCAAAGCAGAGAAAACTTCAATAAAAATTATTGAAGGGGCAACACTTTATTTCATCTAGGTGACAAATTCATACAAGGCTCCATACCTAATAGTCTACCTTTCTAGCTAGCTACCTAGCTGTCCATTTATCTGTGTTAAAATTAAAATTCACAACTGAGAAAGTTGTCATGGGGACACATTAACATATTTATTTGAATTTAAAAATTAGGTTAGACTTCTTCTGACAAAGTAAGTCAGATTTGGCTTATTGGGTTTGACAATGAGGACTGGCTTTGCCAATTAAGTTATATGGTTTTATTTTCCATAAATTGGATAAGCTAAACTGAAGCTCCAAGTCTTTGACAAAACATATGTAAAGCATGCATTCAGTATGCAATAAACTGGAAAATACATCCTTTGCCATTATTTAAATGCCAACTTAAATGTGCAAGGTGGTACATCGTTTTCAAAAGTTTTAGGAGATAAATGTGCAAAAATTTTTAGAAAACCACTGCTACTATTTATGGATATAAAAAGTCGTAGTGAAAGTGTAAAAGCATGCATGAAAATGATAGACAGAAATTTAGAGTGTTTGTTACCTCGGGGGAAGGACAAAGTTAAGGGAGGGGTCACAGAGTTTTATTGGTCATATCTGTAGTGTTTTATTTCTTAAGTTGGATGGTGTGTCATATCTTTAGTGTTTTGGTCATATCTATAGTGTTTTATTTCTTTTTCTAGTTTATTAATTTGAGAGAGAGAGGAGGGAAGAGGGAGAGAAAGGGAGACAGAGAGAGAAAAACAACAATTTGTTGTTCCACTTATTTATGCATTCACTTGCATTCATTGGTTGTTTCTCATATTCGCCGTGACTGGGAATCAAACCCGCAACCGTGGCATATCGGGAGATGCTCTAATCAGCTGAGCTACCCAGCTAGGGTATAGTGTTTTATTTCTTTAGTTAGATGGTGGACAGATGGGTATATATTAGCTGTATTTATTTATATACATAAAATATTTTATTTTAAAAGAATACAATGAAATCTTATATATTTTAAGAGAACATGTTGGGTCTCTGATAGAAAAATAAGATATTCACAGTAAACTGAAAAATGAAACACTTGAAATTCTAAATTATCAAAGACACTTAAGGAATTACAGTAATTTGCATAAGAAACAATCATTGTAGTTTGCCATTCCTCTTTAAAGCCTTGATACTTATATAGTTTTATTATTCATTTAGTTAATTCTTTGGCACCTGGTATGTGCTTAATAATCAACATAACTTCTCTGTAGACTTCTGTTGTACATACCACCCTTCCTAGATATCATAACTGTTAAATTATGTTTAAATTCTATTTTTAGTATCATTTTTTCCTCTGTGAAACTGAATTAGTTTGTTTCCTTAAGGCTTCAAGGAAAACACATTCACATACTGCCTTCAGAAATTGGATCTTAATGCAAGTTTACACAGGAGCATTATGTGTTCAGTGGTACAGTCATTCTGGGACCTTTGGCTTCCAAGACTGGAAAGGATATATCCTGAGCTTGATCGAAGTCCCATTCTTTATTTACCTACTAGCACATTTACCTTCCCAAGTCAAAGAGGTCGTTGAATGGGTTTATCACCATTCACAATGAAAGGTCCCTGTTGGCCAGATTTTTATGCCAACCATTTGACCTCATGCCTAACCCATTTGTGCCTGCCTTTGTCCAGGCAAAGAAGCGGGCTTGTCCGCACTTAGGAGTGCCTGAGACTCTGCAGTTTATAC